ATTACAATGATACTGTATGGCAGTTTCCTATAAAAATACAATTTCCATTTGAATACACACAATCGCCGATGGTTGAATTTCTCGTTATAGCAGTATCTTTACATGTGATATTACATGTTTGCATGATTAGTATTCTGAATGGATTTATCTTTACTTTGGTAACTCATATTGCATATTTGTTATGTTAAGTTTTTATCAATTTTTAATATGACAGTACGATTTACGCAAACTTATTAGCGTAAACGCTATTGCATGGAAATTTTACATTAAATAATTTGCAGAGTTTTATTACTTGTGACACAATTTACACAAATACATGTTACGTTTTTGTATTAGATATTTTAAAATTTATTGTGATCGAGTGTTGAGAATAGGCATATATTACAGTCAAAAAATCTAAATTAAATTTATTTCGTGAGATTATTACATTTATTGTATCTCTGTACCAAAAATATTCAAATTTTACATGCAATAATTATAATTTTTACAAAAATTTAAGTATATTATAGGTGCTCCATCTAAGCGGCCAAGTTGATATAATATGTCAAGAGTTTGAAAATATTTCCAAGCATATTCTTCTTCATAGATTTTCTATACCTTCATTTGGCATACTGATTGAGAAGCATAATAAAGTCATTTCATTTTCCGAAAACATCGAACAACTATTTTCTTTTATCGGATTAATGCAGGTTGTTTGGATTACTTTAGTTATTTGCTGTCTTGGATTTGTCTTGATAATTGTAAGTACTATAATAAATATGAAATAGTTGTCATGTATTTTATTTATTCTATTTTTGTTGTTCATTGAGCCAGTCTATTCACAATAAAACTGGTGTTTTCGCATTAGTGAAAACCATGATTGCTTATCTTGCCATAGCAATGGAAGTTTTTATGATTTGCTTTTCCGGAGAATATCTTAGCTCTAAAGTAAGTATCTAAAAGTGATTAATCGTAAATTTTTAAATAAATTTTTTATCACATGATATTTATGCCGATATAATGATAGAACTGTATGACATAGTTCTAAAGATATATTAATATATGTTGCAGTGTGTGTGTGTGTGTGTGTGTGTGTGTGCGCGTGTGCGTGTGTCTGTGTGTAAAATTAAAAATATTATTTATGTTAATTAATTTTAAGCAAAAAAAAATTTTTCTTATTTTAAAATAAGATATATATTACAAACATATAGATATTTTTAGAAATACTAACAACACACACATGACTGGTATAATAAAATTATATCTAAATTTATATCTAAATTTATAAAATTTTTATTAATTAATAGTTTATTATAAATATAAAACTTATTATATTTTTAAATAACAATAGAAATGGAATCAATGAATAGTATTTTTTATTTTGTTACTATAATATTTTTACAATGTCAAAAATAATACTGAGAAAATCTTTTCTTGCTAAATAAATTAAACTTAAAAGATAAAAATAAATATAAAATATTGTAATATTTGACAGTATTTGCATCATTTTTTAGGGCAAATCAATTGCCAGGGCAACATACGAGACGCCTTGGTATGATATGCCGTCAAATCAGAGTAAAATTTTAATATTTATAATGATGAGATCGCAAAAGCGACTAGCAATCACGGCGGGGAAGATGATGGATATGTCATTTGAAACTTTTACAAGTGTAAATTTTAAAATTTTTTAAATTATTAAATTATTAAAACACAAATTTATTTAAATTTAATT